TTTGAGGTAATATGTTCACAAAAAAAAATATATATCAAATACAAAAAATGATATTTGTATGATGAATAAGGCCAACTATATCGTAAAATAAAAGTCGTTATTTAGAAGCACATAAATATTTATAGTATCAATAATATGATTATGCTTTGAAACTTTTATCTGTATCAATATTATATTATCCTCTATAATTAGTTACTTTTTGTATTTCGATACCTATACTTTTTAAGAGTTACATTCAGATTTCTATATTTACAAAAACGAAACATTTAAACCCATTGTTCTAATAAAACTATTCTCTCTTGATATTTAACCCTATAAAATTATATTTTTAACCTTGTATAGAAATCTCAATGTTTCACTTTAGTAAGTATAGAGATCCCAATATAACTTTTGAAATTGTAAGTATCGAAATATTAAAGGGGGCTAATTACAAGGAGTAATATGTAATTAGCTCAACATATTTATCTCTTCAAACTTTTTATATCAGGATAAATATTTATTTCGTGCCTATTAGAAATAAGTCAAGACACATCAAAAAGAAAAAAAAAACATCTAGAATGACTAAAAATGGTGTGGGCTACGAAGATGAGGCAATGTAATCCTCCAAGCAATGATACGGAAAGAAGCCAAAGGTTCCTAAACGACAATTGAACTACTTAATGAACTACTTATCAATTCAAATGAGAATGAAGATCCTACAAAGCGAAAAATACGGAACAATCAGAAAAAAAAATCAAGTATTTGCGAACATAGATCCAATCATGTATATGAAAGTAACAGAGCATTTAGGAAACAGGGAAAGGAAGCAGACATATGTGTAAGCAAGCAATCCAAGAATTGTAGTGCTATATATAATTGGAATACTCTGAAAGAAACAAGATAAGCATCAATGAAGCATAGGAATGGGTCAATCAACAGCACATGAAAAGTCTGCAAACAAACAAAAAAGAAATCTCAAACCATCCAATTTACTTAGTCGTTGAAGGTTGAAGACAGGTAAAGCACTAGTAGAACGAATGCAACAGAGGAATAAAAACATGAACTCACGAGATGCGATACGCTCTGGACTTGCAACCTTCCGACTGAACCCAACGAGACGGACTGCTGCGCCTGGAATCAATAGTCACCACGGAATTTTGCCGAATAACAGTGTTCCAAAAGATCACCAAGAGTAACAAAGTGATCGCGAGAGTTCCGACGGCCGAAAACAACGATTTAGTTCAACAAGATCCACTCACCAGACGAGACCAGAGCTTCGAGAGCCCCGCAAGGCTCCGGAAGAACAGCATTGATCAGGAGATACCCTATGAAGGGCAAACTTCACATCAATTCAACATAGAAGGACGAGAGGGTTTCAAGAAACAGAAGGAAACGATAAAAAAAAAGGAAAATGTTAAAAGCTTAATCCTCCGAACAACATCCGAGAGATCATCTACAGAATCACATGCAAAGAATCGAGAAGGAAAGAGACAAATGATCCGATCGAGAGTTAGGGTTTTCCGCAGAAGAAAGAAGCGATCGTGGAGAGTAGAGCGAAAGAGGGGAAGAGTGATATCACCGACAGAAGAGCGCGAAAGGCGAGAAAGTGAAGAATGGTAGTGTATTCATTTAAAGCGACCACTTACCCGTCTCTGATTCGCTGCATCTGTGGGGCTCACATGACGGAAGCTTTCGAGGTGGCGCGAGGATAGCAAAACAACGATCTCCACTGTGGTTTGGGGGTTTTTAGACGCTTGATCGGACGGCTGAGAGAGTCTTGAAGACCGTTGATCGTAAACAGAGCGATGGAAGGGAGGGACGCCAGCCGTCCGATGTGAGTACGAAACGGAGCCCACCAATAGACTAGAGCGGTCGAGATGGACCAGGCCATTAGGAAAAAAAGCCCGGTTCATCATACCGTATCTAACAGTAAGAGGAACCGAGGCAAGCCGGCCCATTAGAAAGATAAGCGCAACAATAGAGTGGAGTATGTGGAACGCTGTGGGCCGTATGAGCCCAACAATAGACCGGAGCAGTCAAGATGGACCGGCTCATTATATCGCATCTTAAAGTAAGATGGTCCGGACCGGCCCATTGGAAAGGGAAGCAAAGCCCATTAGAGAGATACTATTGCCTACAGGTGATAAACGAGAATGAAATGAAAGAAGGGCAAAAAGGTAAATATATAATAAATTAATTACCTATGTATTTATATTAAATTTGATGATTATAATTAATCGATTTTACTCAAATCTAAATCAAGCATGCCAAGAAAAATAATGCTGATATTATTTAATAATGTCACAAACTCTGATGATTAATTTACCTATACACCAAAATTCGACTCGATTGCCTTTTTTTTCTTTAATTCGAATCAATCCTAAATATAATTTTAGTGTAGCCAAAACTATTTTTGATGATAAGAAATACTTAGATACTGACTAAAAAATCAATCATTTCAAATGCAAAAAGAAAAAAAAGGCTAAAACTTTTGTTTTTGCGCGAACAAATTGTTTATGAAATAAGAAAAAAATATTAAAATTAAATAAGTATTTTTAAAAAACTAAATAATATATTTTGGTTCGAGTTCATCATCGTAGTGTCGGGATGGTCAAAGGATTTAGTAAAAACCCATATAATATAGAGAAGGATGATACGAAGCTTAAAGTAATATGAGATTTAAATAAGGATAGTTATAAGTTATTCCGTGTGAATAGTTTTACGAAATTAAGTGTTACTTGATCGATGTTTTGAGATGACGGCGAGATGTTTAAATAGGAATTACGTTTGTAATGACATGGCATTCAAGTGCATACTAGGAGATATTAAAGATATAAATAAAATATTTTGGAATTATTGGTCGACAACTATCATAATCTGCATTGGAATTAAAGGGGGCGTAAACCTCATCTCATGTAACACCTGGACGCAAGATGGGTTACGTAAGACACCACAACCACAGCATTCCATGTCTTCTTCAACCACTGTCACCATCATTGACTATTGCAATCCAATGCATCATCATCATCGTCATCATCATCATTATCTTAATCACAATAGCTTGTCCATGTGACTTATCGAATTAGGAAGGGCCACTTACATGCCCAAAGTCAAGTGGATTCAATGGACCATATTAAACTCAGATGCAGCTCATAAGTACTGTTCTTTTCTTCTTTGATTAATAACATATTTATTTTTTAAAAGGTAAATGATAAAGATAAGATTTGAGCTTTAATCTTACGATATATATTTAAAATCTTTATCAGTTAAATTAATTATCACCTTTATTAACAGCATATTACCACAAGTATCTCATTATCAACGTCAATTAGATGATGTGGATACAGCTTGTAACATACTGTAGTAGTTGTAGTTTTGGAGAGCTGTATAGTTGAAATCTCTCTCTCTCTCTCTCTCTCTCTCTCTCAGTATCAACTGGTGCAGTGCACATAGATGCCAATAGATTTCAGCATCAACAACTTGTTAGAATGAACAAAGCAGTGTTAGGTACAAACTTGAAGTGTAAGGATCAAAGTAAAGGAAAGAAAACTCATGGATGACGCTAGCAAACAGACTTTATGTTATGTTGTGTTATCGTTAACTTATAATTAACTTTTTGATTTAGTTGCATAAGTCTATTATCATTAACTTATAATTAAATATCTTATATAATATCTTGATTAGTTTCATATTAAGTGAATGAGATTAAGATTAATATATTATTATTAATTTTAGCTTAAATATTTTGATTTCAACTAAAAGAAATTGATAGACTAATTAACCTATCAGATTGTGACATCCTAAATTAGGTTTAACAAATTAATAAATATAATCTGAATGTATTTGATATGATTACTACTCTTTATTTTGATCATCAGGCATCCAAGAGCTTCTTCAGTATAAACCTCTGGACATACTTATCTTGGGAGAAAAAGAGAAAAGGAAAAAAGACTAGAATGCCTAACAAAAACTATACATAAATCCATCATGAAAACCAAACACACAAAATCCATCAAAGGGCAGCATGTTTTACTTGAACTAGATAATGAAGTACTTGTGGTTGATGATTTAATTAATATGTTGTGATCCTTGTTTGCTGTGATGCTGCATTGGTGAGGGAATATGAACTACAGTGATAGTACAACAAGGACAGACGACAGCATTGGAGAGTGCTAAGAGATGTTTTTTATTTGAAATCATGACTCTACTTTAATCTGTCATGGAGTCATGATTCGTTGAGATAGGAACGGCTATGTTGGTGAATTTTTATGCCATGGTTGAGGTGTCGGCATGGCTCGGTGTAGTCCCGGATGCACAAGATTGCCCGCGCGGATACTCGGGTCATGTCAACGTCGGATCGAGTTAGGTCCACATCGTCTCCCGAGTGTGGTTGTCCCTCGGCGGGTTGCTATTGCTTCGTTGTCAGTTCCTGCACAAAGATCAAGGTTGAGAGGGGGATTTCTCAACTCAACCTCTCTGAAGTTCAAATCAGTGTCGTGGAGTTAAGGGGAGTTGAGTGTCCTCCTCTCCTGATTAAGGAGGGTTAGCTTTTATACCTGCGATGATGAGTTGGTCGTACAGGATCAATTAACTACAGTTAACTTCTCGGACGGCCGACTTAAACTTTTGTGCGAGCGTCAACCGACCTGCATGGATCGGTACCACGCGGCGCTGCCCCGAACTTTCCGGGATAACTATACCGTGATGATGTCGTTCATACGGAGGGGGCGACGAGCGATTACCTGTCATATGTGTATTACGCACCACATTGGACTTGAAGTTCCATGCATGCATCGTCATGTTTGTTTGCCTGGTCCACGTGGATAACATACGTATCATGACTCGATTAGAAAGGAAGTTGGACTTTGATAGAAGCATGAATGGTAAAATGGCGTCTATTAGTTGCCATAACACTTGCAGCAAACTGAGAGATGTTTTCCGTATTAGTTTTATTCTCTCTCTCTCTCTCTTCATTCTTGTGAAGTTGATACTTGTTTTCTTTTGTTCCAATCTTTTCCTCCTCTTTTTACCTTTCTTCTTCTTCTCATATTATTAGTATTGCTGCCTCCAACTTGCCTCAATGTATAAATTCCCCATTACCTCTCATTCTTCCTCCCATACTCTCTCTCTCTCTCTCTCTCTGGACATCATGAAGGAAGCAGATATAGATCGGCCAGCCTTATTGACACCGAGCAAGGATTCACATGTGATGTCGAAGCTGAAACCCAAGATCAGAATAGTGCACCTGTTCACGCCGGAGATCATAAAGACCGACGCCGAGAACTTCCGCGAGCTCGTGCAACAACTCACCGGCAAACCCACGAAGGCAATAGCCAGCAAGAAGAAGAAGAAGAAGGCGAAGGCGTCGCCGCCGACGACTATCGATGAAGCAGACCGGAGATCCGTGCGCGGTGGCCACAGGGACTTGATGCATGAGAGATTGAAGGAGGAGACAAGTATCGAGCTGTCGGAGGACGACATCGCCGGCTTCTTTAGCGAGCTGGGAGCTGCAGAACGTTTCTTTGGGGACCCGATCGGTGACTCCCCGTTGCTGCCTGTGGGTGCTTCTTTCGCGTGACGGAGTGTAGTCTGTGGTAAATGAATGCCTGCTTCCAATGAAGACTGAAAGCCTTTGTTTAGAGGATCGGATTTGCAGATTAATTGGAGTTATAATGGTCTCTTCTTGTTATTTCTTGGGTCGATCATAAAGGTGGAGCACATCCTCTTTTCCTAATCTATTTTCCCCACCTTTGTTTACTGTGAATAAAAAGATTTCATTCATTAATTGTTCCACCTTCTCTCTCTCTCTCTCTCTCTCTCTCTCTCTCTCTCTCTCTCTCTTAACATCCTAGGATCTGATTTTAGAGGCAAGATTGTTGTTGTTTGGCTACATGGAATCCATCTGGATATGATTTCTGGACCTGTAATAAGTTTATTGAATGCACATAATTTGATATGAGGAGAGACAAATGTGGGAGTTCAAATCAGATGCAATTCATGAATCCAACTTCATCAAATTCATTTGAACTATCCTCTTTGGTCATTCATTTTTGCCACTTCACCTTTCTTAAGATACTGAGATCACCTTGTGAATGAATTATTTACTAGCTTCAAGGATGATCAAAGATATAAGTTCATGTCCTATATCTCACTGCCTAAAGAAAAACTGGTGAAAATGCAATTACTCATCCCACATTACTTGGAAATGAACTTGAAAAAAAAGGATGATTAATGTTTCTAGTACCCAAATCACCAAGCATCTCTCCATCTGACCATCAACTGATTGAATTAGTATCCTATGACAAAGAATGCAGTTCAATTGAGTAGATAAACATACCTGACTGATTGAATTAGTATATTCTATGACAAAGAATGCCAGTTCATTTGAGTTGATAAACATACCTGACGCGCACGATTAATGATCATTCACACACATGAAAATTGCAGCAATTGGTGTGAGTGATCATCGCTAGTAACTCAAATCAGAGTTTTTGAAATGGTTGTTATCCACTGTGCGTGTAATGTCTCGACAAACAAATAATATTTGCAGGACAAGGAGAACAAAGCACTTGTGAGAGTTTACAGTGGATCGGCCTGATAAATGTATTGCATTAGTGTGTATGTGGATTCGGGGTGGGTGCAGTAGAGGAATTCTGGTGCAGGATGGTGGATCCATACCAACTCAGGGACAATGGTTAACTTTCATACTCTGACATCATGGAGTCTGTCGCGGATGATGCTGGAGACCCTTCCAATCTTGTAAGAACATCAGGAGCTCCAGCAGAATCCCTCGTTATCTGAAGCAAACACTTTGTGTCAGAAGGCTAAAATTGAATCCGTATCAGAGTATCACAGTCAACATGGACAAACATTTATCCCACCACATTCCATAAGACCAAGAGTATTTTAGTTTCATATGAAGATAAATGCAGAAAAACAATAAATTACATTCAGGTTTATTAGTTCCATCGGAAAAGAAGAATGCATAAGAGGAAAAGAGAAGACAAATTTCGTGACAGAAAAGATAGATTTCTGGAATCTTCATACTAATAGTCAAATGATAGTATCACATTTTCTGTCTTTTAACTTAAAACGTGAAAAATACTATGCTATCACAGCAAGACTGAATATAGTTCATTTGCGAAACATTGTGAAAGAAATGCAGACAGAGTAAGCTAGCTGAATGTGTTCAAGATTACCATATGAAACTCACAAGAACTCCAATCCTGAAAAAAATGGATAAACTAAAGAGCATAACCATATTTTATGGACTTTAAAACAATCACCAAGGATTAACTGCATTAGTCAGACAATAAAGCTACAGAAAGTTTAGGGCCTAAATGAACTGCATATAAACAGCAATGTTTGTTACGCAATGCTTGATAAATTCAGGTTTTGCTTTCACTAGAAAATTAGCATCAGCTAATTTATTTGTTTGCTAACAAATGAAAGTTGCAGGTCCACGGCATTTATTTAAGATATTCGAAAAAATATTTATTTTCATGCATTACAAGCAGAACTTAATTTCATACCAATATTTCTTCATCCAAGTAGGAAATCATGAACATTCTCTCAAAAGCACCACCTGAAGGAAGCAGAAAAATGAGCTTAGCACCTGCAATTTAATTAACTAAAATAGTACGAACATTCCATTAGAACATTTTAACATAAATAAATATCAGGTACATACAGGTTATTGGCTTAGCACATGGAAATTTGAACAAATAAATGCAGGCATATTAGATGAACCAAAGGATGGAATATTAAAAATAAAATAAAATGGTAAGAGGTATCCTTAAGTACCAGCAAATAAATTAATTACAGAACCAACGAAAAATAATTCGATGGTATGCAAATCATGCCAAAAAATTCTGAACATGTTCACACTATTGGACAAGTTGTAGCATTAATACAAGTGAACACTGAATGACCATATCCGAACAATGTGCTTCTGCTTAACAGACAGAACAGTCTACCACGGTCATCCTATCACTTCCAGTATAGGACTAAATCAAAGTGTCACACAAGTGATCTTTGTAAAAATGACCAAGGAACTCAAATTTCATCAAATTTGGCCCCAGCGCTTTGAGTGAAGCCTGAAATTGGGTTCCAAATAACAATAAAGCTGACCTGGTGCGTATTTTTGTTTATGGCTAAGAGAACTTTGTCATAGGTCCTGTTGGGCTGATCAGGTGCCAATGTGTATGATCGATCTTGCTACATGTGTGAATGGCAAAGGTCTTGGATGTTTATAATAATACCACTAAGCAGTAGCTCCTAATTAAGTGTTTTGGACCAGATCCTATATCACAAAATTGGTACTAAGTTAACCCAGAAAACATCTAACCTTTTGTTTCAAATTCTCTGTACTCTGTCAAATTTAACAATTGAGAAAATGTACAATTTTGGCATATCTGTATAACAGATTCAAATTGAACTGTAGTTACTTAGTGAAATTTTGAGTCCATTTGCAAAGGCATCCTTAATTGGTGCAGGAAGTTGCTGCAAAGCAGTGGTTGCTTGTCCAACAACGCCCTTCAACTGTTCTGGTACAGCCTCTTGACTAACTGTGGGTGTTTCCAATGTCCCCTCAACATACTCTTCTTTCATCCGGGTAGGACCCTCTAATGACAATTTGGTTGTCAGGAGAAACTTGCTTTCTATCTGCATCCAAGATAATACATGTCATTTTGCAAGTGGAATTGATAATCCAGCTGCAGAACAATGCAGTTAACAGGCACAAATTCTAGAAAATGTTAATAGTTCTCAGGCATACACTAGCACAAGGGCCTGAAAGCAATCTTAGTAATTAACTATTAACAATATAATGATTTCATCAATAAGTTGTGCCATTGAAAGCATCAATGAGTGATTTAAAAGGTAACATTCCTGCTAAATCAGCATATTAATCAATCAGAAACAACTAAATACTGAGTGCATATGATTAACAAGGATAAAGCCGCTGCTGAAGAAGACGTATCCCTGCCCTGAGAGTAGGATATGTTCTAAGATGAATGTAAGATGTGTTCAATAAACAACATCAGATATAACTTGTCTACAGTCAGAAGTATTAGAAAATTGGTGTCACGTTACAACTGAGGTCAATGAGACAAAGCAAATATACTCCACACCTTAAATGGTACAGAGGATATAGTAAACAAGAACAAAAAGAATTAGCATCTAAAATATTTTAGTATATTTCGGTAAATAAAAGTTGGCACTTACTATGGAGACTTTCGTCATGTGAGAGATGCTTGACTAACCACTTCCAAATGCAAATACAAATTTGGTATATCAACTAATCAATAAGCCAAACTTTCACATAAGAATGACAACAAGCAACAACCCTATTTCATGGGGCCAAAACAGTAACTCTGCTAAGTAATTTAATCATATTAAGCTTTTAAACTTTCATGTTACATCCTTGACCTGCTAAAGATTTCTCCTTCTCCTCCACAGAACCATTTGACTGAGAGTTGACGGTGTATCATTTAGCTTACTTGCATGAACAAAAGAAATGCAGGCGAACATATCTCATACGTTGTATCCTGCAGACATCAATGCATACTAAAACCTGAAATATCTTAATAACAAATAAAGTTGTCATTTGGGCTTACAGAGTTCAAAAACCTAAGGTTTGCTGTGATTTTTGAGTATCCATCCTTTAATAGCATATCCATTCCCAACAAATTGGCTAAAGTGGCAGGTGATCTCCTGAAAGAAACACATTCACATTAGATAAATCAACTAGGAATTTTTCATCATTAACTATATTGTTCCGAAAGGCCCTGGTTCTACTAAGTGGCTATAGATGCATCCAAAACCAAAAACTGATTGCTTCTACATGGCATTAAAACCAAATGGTCTGCACACAATTAGCTCCTTTATGCGGATGACCCAAAAAATGTTTAAGCCACCATTCATGTGATGCTGCAGGGAAATATTTTAAAGAAAGAGATCCCTACTGAAACAGAAATCTTGCAGCAAATGATGCAGGGCTACCAGCACTAAACCACTCGAAGTTCCACCGGCCTTCCAGAAAGGGTGATCTGCAAATTGAATAGACAACAAATATAAAGACGTAGCAGAAACAGAATCTTGATTTACCACCTAAGAAACTAGTAAAAACTATTTCAGATTAAATTTAAAATCCTAGTTGCTTTAGTGCATATGGGCAAGAGATTGATACGCAGCCCACAGCCAACCTCAGCTACTGCCAACCACCTCTCAAAGTGATAAACAAATTTGTCGATCCATTCCAAACATCACAAATGATATAAAATTGATTTTTTACTACTGTTGCATACTCTCTTAATGAGTAAACATACGTTGTGGGACGGGCAGTGGGATTTAGTCGCTCAAGACTGACAATCCTCTCGTTAACATCAATCCGCTGCAGCTCTGTTGTCTGTCCACTGATCAATGATTGGAAGCCCCCAGCATCCTTGAACTGAAATAATAGTTTTGCGGAACAAATCAGAAAAGCGAAATACCAAAACTAATTAATAGAAAACTCCGTTCCCACATTGGCATAATATAAATCGCTTTTCCAAAAGATAAAGCAATGCAAAATGAGGAATTATAAGTGTACCAAAATCTGCCAAGAAATTAGGACATTCTACAATTCTAAGAGTAAAGCAACAACCAGAAGAACGATACACCAATACTAAAGGAATTCTTAATGAACAGAAGAGAACGGAGTCCAGTGAGCTAAAAAATTCTGCAGCAAAAGAGGTTAAAAGGTCATAATTTGAAGAGAAGCATTTTGATGCAACTCGACAATTCTATCCGAAACCTCAAAAGAGATGGAACTTTCACCGAATTTTATCCCATTCCGCTAAACGAGGCATAATCCACATGCCATACTGTAGGAATCAAGCAGTCAGCGAGGTTCAACCATCTATAAGCAGTAATTAGAGAGAGAGGCTCACGGCGAGGAGCAGAGATTCCTTGGCGGAGAGCCGCTCCATCTCTCTGGCGTAGGCAGCGGAGGGGCCCTGGAAAGTCTGCTGCTGCACCATGGCCGTCCATCGCCCGGGGCCACGTCGGTGCCGCCGGAGGCTGAGACCGGCGTCGCGTCGGCTCTTCTCCGGCAACGGCAACGGAGAAATAGAGGGGAGACGAGGAGGAGAGATCGCGGGTCGAATGCTGCCGAGCGTCATGGCGGCGGCCATGGATGATTCGAGGAGAACACAAGCGAAAAGGGGAGATCGAACCCCAAGAATCTAGCGCTTTTTTTTCCGGCACGAAAACGATTGAATCCCATCATCCGGGTGGAGGGAGTTGACAATCCATGTGCCGAGGGTAATGTCGTCAATGGCAAAATAACCCACGAATATGTGTGGCTTGGATTAACGCGAGTATGCATCTGTTGTGTCAAATGACTAAAACACCCCCATCGATGCTACGCCACGCCAGTTACTGTTACCGCTTCACCGACGGTTGTGGCCTTGTAAAGCAAAGAAATGATTCGCAGGAACAACAATAATGTTGATGAAATATAATAATAAATGTTGCTTATAATTAGTATCAGAACAAGTCTTAAATAATTATAAATAAAAAACTTTTAAATGGGTTGAACTGAGAACTTTATGATAGTATGATAAAATATTTATCCACTAAAATTAATTAACCATTCATTGGCTTACTAAATTAATTTTCGACATATAGAATTAGATAATTTTGGGAAACACTCAGAAATATTGATTATTAAATTACTACCATGTATTGATTATTAATACTAAAATATTAGATGCTGAAACAGCTGCTCAATTTAATGCTTTGAAGACGAGGAAGAAATTTTTCATAACACAGCATCTTACTGTGTCATACAAATAATTCTGGAAAAGACGGGAATCAATATAATATACATCCGTGTCAACAGTGCTCTTGCATGAGATCACAAACATCAATTGGGTCATCTATTTCAGCTAAAATTGGATCAGTTGTCAATGACAAAAGAAAAGAGACGTGTGTAAAACGTGCATTAAAGATCCGGAGGTTTCAGGGAGATCCCCTCACCATGTTTCCAACGTCCAGTATTGTGGCATCAAACCATTACATAAGAAAAGATTAAAGAGCACCGATCTAAATGAGACATTAACATTAGTGCTGCGTATTAGTATCATCCTCAGATGAGGAGATAAGTTGTACTATGTGGCTTTCCTCGCAAGATCCGATAACACGTTTGTTTCTTTAATAACACAACGTATAACAACATGAAGCAAAAGAAGTCCAGAATTTAACTGCCTTTATGATGGCAATTCCGTCTTCCGATTCTTAGACTCGTACAACTTGGAGCAGTGATTTCTCCGTTCCGATATCCATTTCTAAGCAATTCAGATTTAACTGCTGCTCAGCCACCTATGTGTATCATAGGCCTGTTTGTTGTCTTTGCTAGGTCAAACATCCCAGCATGTGCAGCTTTCTTTCTCTTAACCTGATCAGAAGGCAACTAGACTAGTAAGACCGATGTAACTAATCTAAAATTGGAACACTAAACCAAGTCGGTGAATTACACATTAGTTTCTACGTCTTCATGATAAATCCTGCAACAAAACATTCTCACATTATGAAGGATACAACCTCCGACGGCAGATTCAATATGCAGAATACCCTGCAAATGATACTGCATGCATCACATCGTAAAAGCTATTCTTCTACAGGAGATATCAACAAGCTCCAACCAACTCAAGGGAGAACACAATGAACGACCAGAATCTATACATACCGCAGCTCCAATGATCTCCTTCAGCCCAAGGTCATCCACGCCAGCACGAATTGGATCTCTTAAGCTTACCTATAGATGTAACAGAACACAATTAATCTCTGGTGGAAATTGGGGTTGCTAAGGGAAAAACATAGAACACAAAAGGGTAGCCATTTTGACAATTTGAATTAGCAAGATGGAAACGGGACAACCTTTAGAACATTTTTCCATGTTCTTATTAAGCTTTCTAGATCTGAATAAATTTTAAGAAAACACATTGACCCCATCACTAGACTAACTAGATTGATCTAATTAACGTATCAAATATCAATCAGATCGGTTTATACTCAAACCAGTATTTAGTGGTCAAACCAAGGATGAGTCTCAACTATATACACCACAAGGTGTCTGCATTCAATCTTTTATTATTATTATTTTTTCAGCGACACCGAGTAGTACTAGGTACTCTCCTCTATTAGTCTGATCAGTTGCACAAACTGGTGCAGAACCAAAATTTAAAACCTTGTATCTAGTATAAATTGACTTATCAATTGCATGCCACTCATCCTCTTGCAGAACCACATTATTTCCTGCTATGTGCTACAGAATATCCTTATTACTTTTGAAAAAAAATTGCCACCTCATATTGCAACAATTGAACCAACGTTTGAAGTCTTAAACAATAATAGTGGCATCTTTTATATCATTTTCTTTCCTTGAAATCAAAATGTCACCCCTTGTTTGGTAAAAGTCAAATAGAACAGAACGTTGGTACATTCCGCAAGTCAAACTTGTTAAATATGAAAAGAAAAAAGATTTCATTTTACCCTCTAAGGCGTAGATACTTATAATCGTACAAACAAGATCTTAGTAGAGACTCAGTGGCTACCCATAACATGCATTTTGCATGATATGAACTTGCATTTGATGGTTTAATTAAAATTACTACGATTCCAGACTAGAAGATAAAATACTATTACCATTCAATTGAAGAAAAACCCTAAGTAAATGTTGGAAAAAAATTAACATGGATACAAATCTGCTGAACTGAATGCAGATTAAATTTGAGAAAAATATCTTGAAGACCATTAAAGATAGAAACGTAGAAATTACTACCAGGAGACAGGCAAAGAATTAATTGATAACATACCTCTGCTGGACCAAATAGACATACTTTGAAGTTGCCATCAGCTAAGAGCCTCAATCTATTGCAACCAGCACAAAAATGCTCAGTCATTGATGTGATAAATGAGACTGTCCCACGATGACCTTCAACAACGAAATTTTTTGCTGTATCTGCAGGGTGATCCTTAAGCCTCTGTACATTTTTAAAGCGTTGTCGCTGCATGGAATGCAACAAAACAGTAAACAACATCATGCAAGATGGACAACAAAGAAGGCACCTGTATATAATGGGATACAAACATATGTTCTTATAGGTATTCATAGTTGTTGTTGTTATCTGGCAGAGTTCTACCTTACCACTCTATCCAGCATCTCCGCGTAAGGAACTAGCTTTTTGACATTCCAAACATTCCCATCAAATGGCATGAACTCAATAAATCGAACGTTGATTGGCTTCTCTCTCGTCATCTCTACAAAATCGCAGATCTCATCATCGTTTAATCCACGCATTACAACACAGTTTATCTGATAAAAGAAAAAAGGCAATCATTTCAGGTGGTTATGTAGAGGAAGGGTATAACATAAGAGAATAGTCAAGACAGATTCAACGGAAGAGAACAGACGATATCCAACGAAAAGGAGCATACCTTAACAGGATTGTATCCAAGTTCTATTGCAGCATCTATTGACTCCATGACTCTTTCATGACCCTTTCGTCTGGTCATGAATTCAAACTTTGCTGGGACCAATGTGTCCAAACTAATGTTTATCGCATTAACACCACACTCTTTCAACTTTGGAAGCTTCTTCGTGAGAACGATCCCATTGGTGGTCATAGCAAGTGTTTTTAATCCTTTTAAGCTGGAAAGACTCAAGCATATATCTTCTATATCTTTCCTAATTGTAGGTTCTCCACCTGTCAACCTAATTTTATCCACCCCAGACGTCACAAAGAGATTTGCAAGCCGAACGATTTCATCGTGAGAAAGAAGCTGAGAGTTAGGTGTTAGTTCAACACCTTCTGCTGGCATGCAATAGTGACACCTGAGGTTGCAACGCTCCGTCAACGAGATCCTCAAGTAATTGTGGAACCTCCCAAATGAATCAATTAGCATATCGGATGCAAGATTATCTTTATCCTTTGGCAACGCTTCAGACAAGACAGCACACGAAGTTGCAGAAGCCATTGACCTGGAACAGCTTGGAGTACCGACACTCGGACAGCAGCCTTTGATTCTGCCAGATGAGCCATAGGAATCTGATAAACAACCAAATCTGCATCTAGAACCGTCAACCTGGTCAAATAACAATAAGCAGTCAAGCCGTTATGTAAACTTTCTGTTCACCAGTTGCATCTCATGCTCTATGTATCAGGTCATTTTAAAGCCGCATCGGAAGTCAACAATGAGCTGCTGTTCACCCCCAAATCATAAAAAAGAGGGAGCTTCTAAAATTTTTATGCAAAGCTGATTACACATAAATTGAGACAAGCCAACACCGATCCCTCCAATTCTCAAGAAACTCTTGACATGGTCACCACCAATTGTATCACAAACTTGCAAGACAAATTGAATAATGGAAAAGGGCAAAAGCATTTGCTTACGCATTATCCTCAAAGCCCAGAATTTATCGTATATTTTAGCTCATAACCAGGGTCTCCAACAACTATCCCTTATCTTATACGGTCAACATCCAAAAGTCAAAATGAGATCGCAAAATTACCGAAAAATAGGCCCTCCGAGAACGCAGGCATCCTTGGAGGAGCTCCCGGACGCAACCCCGCATGTTCACCTAAACAGGATCCGATCAAATAACAAGATGAAGCAAGATCATCTACGGGAATTCACGCAAACAAAAAATCGAACAGGTAGCAGGCGAATCATCCGGTCCCCGAATGCTGCCACGGGATCGAATCCAAATCAAAGCAACCAAAAGAAAAAGACGAACAAGGATCCGCCGACCGACCTACCTCTCGGTCGGAACCTTGGTTCCCTCGATGAATCAGAACATGGAGACAGGGTTAGCGACAGGAATCGAAAGAGAAATGATTTGGAGTCGTAGGAGGAGACGCGCCGGCCGTTGGCAGAGACGAAGAGGGATATCTCGTTCAACACGTCTTCTCGACGGCCTCCTCCTATTTATCGCATTACATATTTATCCTCCCGGAGTTATGGAAATAACATATTCGCCCTTCTAATCTCTTATTACAACACGTATTATTACAATCAAAGATGAAGATTAATCACAATGTTATACTTAACGAATTATTTTAATATGAATAATGCGATAGGAAGATGTATGCAATGACGTACGATTCCATTAATGTTTTATGACTCTCCTATCGTCATCTCCACCTCACATGTCTATGCTTTTCTCTGGATTATTTTGTTTTATTTCATTTTCAGAACACGATTTATCAGCGTACTGCAAGTAGTGAAACTACCATAAGAAAAGGATGTTGGGGCGGAGTCTGACCGTTCGTATCAGATAATGCTGGTGAACTTAATCGGAAAAAGGTTCGCTTCTGTGGGATATATATGATTTCTCGATGACGAGGCAAACAATTTGAAACCGACCTCGATATAACGAGGAGCGTACGTGGCACGCGGATGCCCGCTACGTAGCCACGTGCCTCGTTGTCACCATGCAACGTGTCGCCCCCGCGTCGCCAGTTGCTGCTTTTATGTGCGCTGGCCTGTCCGGGGCTGTAGGTATTACGATTCCACTCGAGAACGAAGAGGAAAAAGAGAGAAGAGATCGTACCGCAAGAATGCAAGCCGGAAAGAACGCGATGGCGTCCGTGAAGGAGACGGCCGGCAACGTCGCCGCCTCGGCCAAGGCTGGAATGGACAAGACGACGGCCACCGTGCAGGAGAAGGTCTCCCTCCTATCACATCGCACAACTAATATGGATCTGTGGCATATGTAACGAGATGGTTCGCTGCAGGTGGAGAAGATGACGGCCCACACTCCGACGGAGAAGGCGATGGCGGAGGAGCGGAAGCAGGAGAAGGTACGGGAAGCCGAGATCAACAAGCAAGAGACCATGCAGCAGAACGCTGCCGCTCAGCAGAGGACGCTCGCGGCCCACGACGGCGGCCACGTCGCCGAGCCGGGAGTCTACCCCGTCGGTGGAGCGCCGGGGGAGGTGGCCGGCCACCCTACCGGTGGCCACCTGATTAGCGGCGCGGTGCGGTCCCGCCCGATAGGCCGGGACACGGGGACGGCGAGGCCCGACGCCGCCCACAACCCCTACGTCGGCTCCACCGAGCCTGCTGCTCGTGGGACCGGCGGTCGCTACGCCTAACGATCCTCCACCCGTCAACCATAGGTCTGGATGACGTTAAGCTCTACATGACGCCGCGCTCCTTTAGTGTGTCTTGAAGTCTTTTTTGCTATGTAGTGGCCCATGCACCTGTCTTTGCATGCTGCATATCGTCGTTGCCTTGTGCGGCATGCTGAGAATGTTTGAAGCGAATAAAAAGGGAAAACTAGCTTGTAGTATATACTGGCACAGCGAATAGCAGCTAACGAATCGAGCAAGAGTATCCAGTAATAGGTACCTTTGTTTCAGCTCCGCATTTATCGATGCCAGCGAAATAAGTAGCGTCGTTGGATGTCTCGATTATCTGCTTCCAGCAATAGATATGAGGGTTTTACTTCCAACAGAATTCAGCGCAAAAATCAAACGCGGCTTTTGAGTATTACTTCTATTCAACCAAAAGTTTTAAATGTAAAATCAACCTGCCTGGTTAGGATTTACCTATTCAAATATGTGGGTTAGACTCCACTGCATTGCTCGCCTGACGGTGACATCTGAACCCTCCTTTCATGGGAAGCTTAAGATACAAAATCGAATAGCAATTACCAAAATGGCTTCCGTTAAACAGCTAGTTTCATAATAGTAGCCCAACTTTAGCGGATAGTCGCACGACAGATAGAAGAGTCTCTTGATTGACAAAACGCAATGGGAGCAATCTTACAGTTCTTGGTTAACCATGAATTTAAATGCATGAAATCTTGTAAATTTCTCTCGAGAAGAAAGATCGAGGATAATGGTTATAGGAGTTTGGCATCGTACATGTGGTGGCTGTGGGTCGATCCACAGAAATTGCCATAGCAGATGAAGGGTGAAACTTCAGAGTGCCATGTCATTCTCTATGGTGTGTTCAAGCAGATGTTTGTTCAATGACCAGTTAGCACATACGGCTTTGAGCTGGTTGGCAATTCGAAGAGATTCGATTAAGCCACATGCCTGACTGCTCCTTAAATGTAGCTAGCTATTCCAACATAAAGCACGGCAGAATCACCACCCCCTGAAAGAAAAAAAATCTGCATAAATATATTAATCATTGTGAACAATGAAATAAGAAGTCAACAATCCTCACTCCTATACTAATAATCATTTTTTTTGTCAGAATTAAGCAATAGATCCTTGGATATATTTTGTCCCTGAAACATGCAAGTAATTTTTCATCTGGGAAATCATTAAATACCATTACTATCAGTTTGACATGAGTAAGGCTACGATCATCCATCATGAGAAAACATTAAGGACTTGTATGAGATCCCGGAGTCAAACCGTGGCAAAACAGACAAAAAGGGAGATATTAATGAAAATAAGATAGAGGTTGAAACTCTATGTACGAGATTGGAGTAGGCAATTCCTTAATTATCTGTGTTCCAACAAGCAAAGGTCTCAGCAATTCAAAGACAACAATTATAACAAATGTTCCCAAATGCTAGTGTTAAGGAGTCTGGAAAAATACAAACTAAATAATAACATATCGTGTAGAAGAACCAAAATGAACAATGAAAATTCTTGCACGAACAAACAATTTATACACATTACAAGGAATTAATTGTATTATTTTTAGACTGAACTGACTTGAGTGTCTACTTTCAGCTTGAACATGTGTCATTCTATTAATACCATGCCCTCAAAACATCACAGCATGCAACCAACTTTCATCTGCGAGAAGAAAATATTTTCCATAAAAGGCCCAAACCCGATAAAATCATTAGACATATTGGCATCTTTCACTATTGCAATTTTTTTCAAAGAAACCATTATTATATATATGGACATGTTACACAATTACAAAATTTTCAAAAGAACCTGTTTTTCTCTGTATTGTTCAAATTAACTCACGATTTCCTAAATAGCTATTCTTAACTTTCAACCTTGATATACTCTTCGGGCTCATAAATGAAATACCGTCATTGTTCATATCCAACCTACCTAGTGATAAGAAGGCAGAAGGAATTGCAGCTCGACTTTGAGATCTAAAGCTTTACTCACCTTTAAGCACATTGGAGATTTCCGAGAGACAAAGGCTTCTCATTTGTTGTCTGCCCAGCTCGAATTCTTAGAGGAGGTGCATGAACTGTTATTGGAAGAATCCATTCTCCTTTTTCTCTTTGCTCAATGAGTAGAGGATGCTCGTACCTGTCAAAGGATAGGATACAAAATGTACTTTCATTCCAATCAACCAATATGACCAAGGTAACAGTGCTGTAAGTTTGTTCAAAACGTACAACTAATTAAGGGTATGACTGGCATGAATCAAATAAGAACTTGAAAAGGTATTGCTATCATGGGGTTCATAATTCTGAAAAGTTAGACTAGGAAATGTTCCTGAGTTCTGGTAAATTGCTTGATCTTTGCTTCTTGCTTCCTCTCTCCATGGAAAAGGTAGGCATGCTAAGCTCATGAAATTCCAATAAATTAATCAATTCATCAAGACTTTATTATGGGTCTTTCGCTAATGCAACATCATATGCACAATGGGGACAGCAAAATATGGCACGAGGATGGAATTCAGTTGATAGTGGAAGACATCTGATACAAACGTTTGAACTACAATACCCTAGCAGTGGTGATTGTTGCAACATTACCTACTCAAGTCCAAATCCTTGGGAGTGGTGAAAAACTCAAAGCGAAGTGACCACTGCACTGATACTTTTGGTGTGGAAAAGGATATTGGCCCATCAATAGGAATTGAGAAAAGAAAGCTTGTCTGAACCAAATCAGCCACTACCTCATGATGTTCACTCTGAACCTGCATATTCAAAGCACCAGGATGAGATAGCATCTCCATGAGCAGAAGTACAGGGTTATACGTTTAATACATAACCAAGTGTCAATTTAAAAATATACCCAATGAAATTAAAATCCATCTGAAAAGAGCGAGTCAGAGTTCATTGATTGATGTATATTAACATCCATCCACCAAAAGCATTTGGAAACAAAATTCAGCAGAAAATTAAAATAGACCCAGCCGCTAAATAGACTAAAGTAGTAACAATTAAAAAAATGAAATTATTCATGAAGAGAAGACTGTTACACGTGTGCTCCATCCAACTGATGGGTCACATTATCTAATATGATCCATTGCAAATGTTGTTTGCTTTATTCAACAATACCAACAAAGAAACTGGATTGATTGTTCCTCAGAAAATGATCCCATTATAGTTGCCCCCAGGCAGCTCATCTTTCAGTAATCATTGGATTCCTAGATACTTCGAAGTATTTCTTTTAGAGGTGTAACTTTTTGTTATCAGGCCAAAGATCTTTCAAATGAATGTCTTCGAGTATTCCTAACAACAATTGTTTTCATAAATTAATCAAGCATCCCTTCGTACAATTAGTTCGAGGAACGACAATTATACAGATGTGGAATCAATATTTAATTGGTGGATTCATGCAACATTGTTTTCCTTCACAGAAGACTTGTATTTGCTTTCTTAAATCAACCTATAGAATTGATGATTATCAAAGCAGTCAAAATTTCTTTTTTACAAAATTTGAACATGTAAAACGACTTTATTGGATTAATCTCCTCTGCCACCATCATACCAGAATAAATATTTACAATTAGGCAAAAAGAGAACCACTTTCTTCGAGCAATTTGCATAAGCACCAAAAATAAGGTATGCAGTTTTGATGTAGCACAAAACATTTATAATAAGAATGAAAGAAGCTAGGAATTGAGAAAAAAAAGCATAAAAAGGACATAGTCTAGTCACTGACAAGGGTAACCAAGAAATTATATGTTTTCATTGCTTAAACTTTAAAAAACTAGCCAACATGAACCTAGAGGAAGTACCTTAGTGATAGTTGGTGAGCTCCTCCTCGAAGGATGAACAAAACGTTGGGTAATTGTTTCTGCAATCTCCAAAGTTATTGCAATCTGAAAATGCTCACAGATTTAGATGAAACTTCTAGAAAGGAGACGAAGTTGATAGAGTCCATATATTTATACCTCAAGGCATCTCCTGAATCCTCCATGAAAGAAAGTAAGAGTGCCACCAATCTGTCGACAGAATACCATGTGTATTTTAGTCAATAAAAATATGATTTTTGAAAAACCATTGAAAATGGTCTTACCATGTCGCCAAAGTAGTAAGTTGAGTCAGAGTTCTTAGGAGAGAACCGAAGCAAAGTTTGGTCATCAATCTTAATATTGTAAGACCTTCCACGAATGAAGCCTTCTGCTGCAGGGAATGGTTGTTGCAGATTATTTATCATCCTTCTATGCTAAGAGGGAAAAAGAGCAGTAGTTTATGCACACGAAACAGGAAGAAGAAAATATGACAACTTACATGACAGAGGTTCAACAGGTTTAGGCGTATAAGGTGATACAATATCATCCTTAAGAAACTTTGACTCTTGAGAACTTCTTTGCTGACTGGGAGAGGGAGTAGATAAAGAATCATTCAACCTATTCTGAGGTGATGACTCACCTGTCAGCACAAAAAACCCTCAGCTTGGAATTATTTAAAGAAGAAAATCATTAAGCATGACAACACATAACAGAACAGACTAATGCAAATTGGTACAGAAAGAATCTTATAGTGAAGAAGTGATGCATTGCATGCTTCTGTGGTATATGAAGAACATAAGTTGCCTTGACAAAGATGCATTTAGGTTTTGACCACCAACTTGTTTTAGCATAAATGTTTGATGTGATGAGAACTGAAAAGAAATGACATCAGACATAGATGATAAGATGAAATTGATGTATCAGAGTCAAATCTAAGGTGACCGCCAACTTGTTTTAGCATAAATGTTTGATGTGATGAGAACCGAAAAGAAATGACAATAGACATAGATGTTCAGATGAAATTGATGTATCAGAGTCAAATCTAAGGAGTAATCCACTTCCAATATGAACATATACACAACAAGTTGCCAACTTGTTTTAGCATAAATGTTTGATACGATGAGAACTGAAAAGAAATGACATCAGAGATAGATGATCAGATGAAATTGATGTATCAGAGTCGAATCTAACGTGTAATCCACTTCTAATATGAACATATACACAACAAGTTCAAAGGATACATAAGTACCTGCACCAGGATCATCTATGGCCTCAGCTACAGACAACTGAGCAAGAGGAACATGAGAGGGAACAGTGGTGCGGTCAGCTTGAAAATTATGAAAATCATTACTAGAAAGCCTTGATGCAATTGACTGCAAGGATAAAGAACTCCGATAAGGCATAT